AAAAAAAAAAAAAAAGAAAGAAAAACAAAAAACTTTTAAACATTAACTAACTGTTCCTTTCAAAGACCCACAAAAAAGCCAGTGAGATAGTTCGGCGGACTAAGCACCTGCTTAGACAAGCTCAGGGGTTCGATTCCTGGCACTGTGTGCTGTGCAGACCCTATCTCTGGATGTCCTGAGCCAGCCACCAAGTCCGGGCATGGTGGTGCATGCCTGTAATCCCAGCACTGGAGAGGCTGAAAACAGGAGGACCACTATGAGTTGGAGCTGCACAGTGAGACCCTGTCCCAAACACAAGGGCCCATTGCCTAGGGCCAGATGGGAACACTCCCTGTGGGGTTGTGGTAACACTCCTTGGGGTTGGAGACAACAAATCTTAGGCCACTTTTGCCAGGGCTGACACACATGGCCTGGGTTAGCCTTCAGCCAATACATGAGTGGCCCTGCCATATAGCACAAGTTACAGCAGGCTCAACCACACTGGTTGTAGCCATGGTAAAGAATTAATACTGAGATTCCTAAAGCTGCAGGAGATTAACTGGGTTCTGAGATTCAGAATCAAGAGTCAAGAATTGTGTAGCCTTTGAGAAACAGCTCCTGGCCTGTGCTGGCCCCAGGAGCACCATGGAGAAGCATCCAGGCCAGATGTTAGAGCAGAGGGTCCCTCCAGACCCTGCAGCACATACTTGGACACACACAGTGGAAATTTATCATCAGGCAAAAATTGTAAACCATGCTAAACCTGAATAAGCCAAAGGAAAACCACAGAGCATGAATAAGCTATCATTTAAATGTATGAAAGTAACTACATGAAAATATGTGTTCACAAGATAGTTTTACAGAGACCCAGAGCGCAGGCCCAACGAGTGAGTGAGACGACCCAGGGCCACGGGATCCTGCACAGACCCAGAGTGCAGGCCCGGTGAGTGGGTGAGACGACCCAGGCTGTGGGATCCTGAACAGACCCAGAGCGCAGGCCCAGCGAGTAAGTCAGATGACCCAGGGCCATGGGATCCTGCACAGACCCAGAGCGCAGGCCTGCCAGTGAGTGAGACATCCCGGGCCGGCGGATCCTCATTTGACCCAGAACGCAGGCCCAGCAGGGAACCCTTCAGCAGAACTCCCTGCAAAGAGGCTAGAGGCAAGACCCACCCAGCTGATTCAGAAGCAGAACATCTTCCCAGAGAGAAACAAAGGGTTCAACTCTAACGCCTGCAGCAGAAAGAAGTGGAGCA